CTGGTAACAATGGAGGAGAATCTGCACCCAATTCGCAAAGATTATGGTATCTGAGGGACCCTGATTTACTCTCGGTGGTGTTATCGGCTGGATCAATGGTTGTAGCTGTAGCATGTTTCACCTGCCTGTGGATGCGGAGAGGCGATCAAGGAGTGATTAAATGAATACACGCAACACCCTCTCGTTCGAGGGCCTGAATGTTAACGTCCTGGGAGATAACAACAAACGGAAGTGCACGACAGACTGGACGTATAGCACAAAAGCAGCAAACGTAATGATTCTCTCAAACACCAGGATAGCAGAAAACAACCCCTACTGGTCCACCCTTAACCTCACCACCTTTGCCGCCTCAACACCGGTCACTCGTGCTGGAGGAGTTGCTGTCCTTAGCCGTAGAACTTACCTTGCTTTTCACAACCCGCTAGCTCACCCCTTTGGCAGACTAATTAAGACTGAAATCTGTTGCGCAAGCCTGCATCTCACCCTAATAGCAACGTGTTTCCCCTCGGACAAGATAGTTAGACGAGCGTTTATCAGGACAGTGCTCGGTCCGACAGATGACCTTGTCCCACTCGGCTCTCACCTGCTGATTATCGGAGACCTTAACATAGTTGAAAACCCAATACTCGACAAGACATCAAAGGAGGGCTCGTCAAGGGAGAATGATCACCTCTACCAATTGCAAATCCTTTGACATTGCTGACACCTTCCGTGCTCTCTACCCATTTAAGCGAGAGTTTACCTTTTATGTGCAGGCGTACCAGGAAAGCACGCAGATCGATCGAGCGCTGGTCTCTCGCTCCCTGCTTCCGCGCCTTGTGTCGGCCTCGCATGTCATGCCTGACGAACCTGTTTCCGACCATGGCTTTGCCATCCGCATTGCCTTCAGAATCAAATTGCAGCTGCTGACGGGCCCTGGGATGTGGCGGCTGCATGCTTCCATGATGCACAGACCGGGAATTCAAAAGTTAACGGAGGAGGTGGAACGACAGATTGCGCGGGAAGGGGGAAGTTATGAGGCTCTTATCTCCCGCCTGAACGCTAGTCTTCATGCGTACACGAAGGAAGAGAGCAAGCGGATCAGGGCAACGATTAATCACCTTGCTACATCTGTTGCAGCTTTGAAGCAAGCATTTATGTGTAACCCCAAAGACCGGCGGCTAAGGGAGAGGCTAAGGAAGCAGGAACAGCAGCTTAAGGAATACCATGCTTGCCGAAGGGAGAGGACTCACATCATGGCTGGGGTGGCGAAAGAACTCACTGGCGAAATTCCATCACCACATCTGTCGGCAAGGATTAAGGTGCGGAAGGCTAGCACGCAAATAGCGGAGCTAGCGGTTCCGGGCGGGACAAGAACTGATCCAAAACAAACCTTGGAAGCAGTGTTGGAGTATTGTCGGGGTCTCTTCGTAGCGGACAAAAGAATAGTGGTTGCGGACTGGGTTCCAGCGGCAGGGAAAAGGCTGTGGTTCTCGGACGTGGAGGGCCTGCAGGAGGACTGGATAGAGGCAGAGGTGAAAAAGGCCCTTCGGGAGATGGTTGACAACAAAACACCGGGGAAGGATGGGCTCCCGACGGAGCTTTTTAAACAACAATGGGACGTGCTAGGGAAGCATCTCATGTCGCTGGTGGAGAGCTTCACTGCTTCTGCCGTACTCCCGACCAGTGTCAAGGACGTTGTCACAAAAAAGGGGCTAAGGATCAGCTCGAAACCCTACTAAATGTCAGCTATAAGGTGTTGGCGCGAGTCTTGGAAAGCAGGATCAAGAAAATACTCCATGAAGTGATCTCAAAAGAGCAATTCGGGTTCATACCGGGAAGGCGTGTTTCGGACGCGGTCGGGTTGGTGGCTGACATTATCGATGCGGCAAAGAACGGCAATGAGGGCGGGTTCATGCTGCTTGTCGATTTTAAGAAAGCGTTCGATTCCGTATCCAGGGTCTTCATCTTCTAAGTTCTGAAGAAGATGAGGGTTCCTGATCGTTTCATCGGCTGGATGAAGGGCCTGCATGAGAACACACGCACAAATCTGCTTGTCAACGGGTGGCTTGGCGAAGCAGTGGACGTGGTATCTGGTGTCAGGCAGGGGTGTCTCCTTGCACCCTACCTATTTCTCTGTGCAGTGGAGCCGTTGGCGCAAAAGGTGGAAAAGAAGAAGATTGGGATTACTCTCACCAGCTGCGTAGGGCAACGACTCTCATACATTGGATATGCTGATGACACCACTCTCCTACTGCAAGGAAAACATCAAATCGGCAAAGCGGAGGAGATATTAGAGGAGTTTGAGAACATTTCGGGGCTGGCAATAAATAAAGGAAAGTTGGTTGTGCTCCCGCTGGGTACTAACCTTGGTAAAACTACATGGCGCTCTGATGGCTTCACATGGGCAGGCGCGGACAAAGCAAAGAAGCTCCTCGAGGTTTGGGTTACGCCAAGCGGGAGTTGGTAGCTGATGTGGGACAAGGCTCTGGAGAGGATTGTGGGGAAAATGACGCAGTGGCAGCCGCAGTATCTCCCGATTAACGCAAGAAGGGCAGTGATGGATGGGTACATCCTCCCGATCGCATGGTCTCGGGCTCAGGTGCACCCGCCACCTGCACGAACATGGGGGGTGATCACGAAGCTCTCATACCTTCATGTCGGCAAACAAAGTTACAACAGATGAGTGTTTTTTTCTGTGGAGAAAAGAACTGCTATACACGCCGGTGATGGAGGGGGGAGTGGGGGCAAAAGACCCGGAAGCCATGCTCATCTGCTTTACGGCCAGACGGATTGGGTCGATTCTTACGGAAACTGACCAGCTCAAACGGAACCTGATGCGCCAGGCAGCAGACTTACCGCTGGGGCTAGATACCTTCTTGGCGCATGAGAAGCTTTTGAAAACATGGTAGGGGAAAATTCACTGCTGGAAACTCGCGTGTGAAAACTTCATGCGCCCCCCGCTGGTGGTGACCGGGATTGAACGAAGCAGAGAGGAGGATGCATTGGAAAGGATCGTGTTTAATAAACATATTCTTATCGGTGAGAAGAAGACTACGCCAATCGGTGGACAGAAGGTGGCTAAGCAGCTGCGTGACGTCCGGCTGGGGGACCCAATAAAAAAGGATGAGACGAGGAGAGGTGTGCTGAAGGACCTCACCGCCCTGGATAGGGAGCTACAGGGGAGAGAAACTGCAAAGCTAGCGCTCAAGGCATTTGCAGCAGCACCAGAACCATGGAGAGAGGTGCTTCTCTCAGCTGAGCCGCCTCAGGTAGGGTTTGCGGAAGTGTACGAGGTTGGCAGAGGGGGCTCAGTACAACTGCGCGCAAAACTCCTGGTGAACGGGGAAGCTACGTTGCTGAAAATCCTCAGATCCCGCTGGGGGCATGGTAGCAGCGGACAATCCAGGCGACGCAAGTGGGACAGCAGATGGGGTGGGCGCATAGATTGGAAGCGGGCAGCTAAAACCCGGGAGTCGCTGGTCACCCCCACCAGGCCAAGAGATGTTCTGCTAAGAATCCACAGTCTAAACCTGCAAGTCAGGGAGAGGCTTATGTTTCTTAGCAATAGGTCGGTGTGCCTTTACTGCGACAACTTTGAAACCCTGGAGCATTGTTTCTTCGAGTGCCCGAGGATTCAAGTGGTGGTTGCAGCGATGAAGAAAGCTCTGCGCATGATTAACTCCACCAGGCGGGTGGAGTCGCTCGGGGATTGGCTGTTTGGGAAGGCAGGGTCCACGTCAGAGTTTCCGAAGGCGACCCTGACAACTATCGCTCTGCACCAACTTTGGGTGGAGCGGTGTGAAGGTGCTTTCCGTGGCTGCAAATTCTGTGCAAGGCGGGTATTGAGGAGGATCGTAATGGCCCTGCGCATGCATGTGAATGTGTACGTGCGTGTCAGAATGTATAGCTTATGCTTTTGTGTAGGCTATAGTGGGGTATCCCATAGGGGATACAACCCAATTAGGGTTTCATATTTGTACTCACTTCATTCATAGTTCATCCATTCTCGTTCTCATTCTCACATGGAATCAGAGCAGGTCCCCTCCTAGGGACTGTTCCTTGGGCCCACCGAAGCGCACCTCGAGTCGCGCTTTCCTTTTTTTTTAGCGGCCCGTCGTGTCGCACCTAGCGGCCCGTCGCGCCACCCTTACGGTCGCATGGAGCCGCCCTAGCGGCTGGGGCGCGCCGCCCTTGCCCCGGCCCGTCGCCGCCCTTACCTGCGGCTTCGCGCCGCCCTTACCGGCGACTTCGCGCCACCCTTACCTGCGGCTTCGCGCCGCCCCGGCCCGTCGCCGCCCTTCCCGCGGCTCCGTCGCCGCCCTTTACCTGCGGCTTTGCGCCGCCCTTCCCTGCGGCTTCGCGCCGCCCCGGCCCGTCGCCGACCTTACCTGCGGCTTCGCGCCGCCCTACTCTGCGGCTTCGCGCCGCCCTTCACTGCGGCCCACCCGTCGCCTGACCTGCGACCCACCCGCCGCCCTTACTGCGGCCTGACCGCCGCCCTACTTGCGGCCCACCGCCGCCCTACCTGCGGCCCACCCGCCGTCCCGGCTGCACGCCGCCGTCCCGGCCCCACGCCGCCGTCCCGGCCGCACGCCGCCGTCCCGGCCGCACGCCGCCGTCCCGGACGCACGCCGCCGTCTCGGCCCCACGCCGCCCGTACGCCGCTGTGACACCCAGCCGCCCGAGCCGCCCGTGCCACCTGCGCCACCCGAGCCGCCCGGACGCCTGTGCCGCTGAGGAGCCGAGCCGCGTGTGCCACTGAGGAGCCGAGCCGCCTGTGCCGCTGAGGAGCCGAGCCGCCCGAGCCGCCTGTGCCGCTGAGTGCCCGAGCCGCCCGAGCCGCTCGACCCGCCCGAGCCGCCTGCGTCGCCCGAGCCGCCCGAGTCACCTGAGGAGCCGAGCCGCTGGTCCCGCGGAGCTGCTGTTACTGCTAGGCCGGCCGAGCAGCAGTGTTGCCGTGTTGCTGTGCTGCTGAGCTGCCCGACCCGCCCTGTCTGGTGAGATCGTCGACTGCTGACATGGCTACCCCTAGTGTCCTAGCTTTTGACGCTGAGGGTCGCGCCATTGACTTTGAGGTCTGGGTCGACGACCTGCAGCTGTTCTTACATTGCGATAGGGCAGACAGTCTTTCTCTCTTTGACCTCACCTCTGGCGCCGTCCATGCCCCTGCTGCTGATGCTGACCCCACTGTTCGCTCCCAGTGGGCCACACGCGACGCTGCTGCACGTCTTGCTGTGCGTCGCCACCTGCCTACCGCTGAGCGTGCGCACTTTAGTCAGTACAAGAGTGCTCAGACCTTGTACGACGCTGTAGTTGCGTGCTACTCCTCCCCTGCCACTGCTGCACTGAGCCGCCTCATGCTACCCTTCCTCTTCCCTGACCTTGCTGCCTTTCCCACAGTCGCTGATCTCATTACGCACCTCCGCACTAGTGACACCCGCTACCGCGCTGCACTTCCTGCTGACTTCTGCGCCAAGAACCCCCCCCCCCCCCATGTACATCACTCTCTACTTTCTAGTCACCCGCCTCCCTGACTCCCTTCGTGTAGTCCGGGACCACTTCCTCGCGGTCTGTCCCACCACTCTCACAGTCGACCTCCTAGAGAAGGCCCTCCTAGCGGCGGAGAAGAGCATCGTCACTGTAGGAGCCTCTCGAGGTGACCCCCGCACCCCCATCTTTGAGGGGTGTTCTCCTTCCCCTCTCTTGCCCTCTGTTGCCTCTGCCGCTGCGGCCGACCTCGTTGGTCTTGACTCGGTCGGTGCGGCGTCTGCCCCTAGCGGAAGACACCGCCCTGGCAAGGGCAAGGGGGGCAAGGGGGCGGGTGGAGCTAGCGGGGGCGGTGGAGGTGGAGGTGGAGGCGGCGGAGGGAGTGGGGGTGGCGGTGGAGGTGGTGGCGAGGGTGGGGGTGCTTGTGGCAGCAGTAGAGGCGGAGGCAGTGTCGGCGGCGGCGGTACTGGCGGGGGTGGCGGTGGTGGCGGAGGTGGAGGAGGCGGAGGTGGAGGTGGTGGAGGTGGTCGCTTCACATTGGAGCGGCGCTGGGGGTGGTCAGCGCCAACAGCAGCAGCAGCAGTAGTAGCAGCAGCGTTCTCACGACGTCCCCACCCCTCAGCAGCTCCGTGAGTGGTACACGCAACGTCAGCGTGGTGGGGGTCTTGGTCCCTGCACCTACGTCCTTTGTACCGCAGCTCTAGGTGCTAGTGAGGCTGCTACTCTAGGTGCTAGTGCATCTTTGCTCTCAGGTACTAGTGAGTCTGCGCTCTCAGGTACTGGTGAGTCTTCGCTCTCAGGTACTACGTCAGCTTCGGCCTCCCACACCTTCACCCTTGACTCTGGGGCGTCTCGCTCCTTCTTTCGGGACCGCACCACACTCACGCCGCTTAGTCGGCCGGTTGCGGTTTCCCTGGCTGACCCCTCTGGGGGTCCTGTCCTGTCTCGCTTCTCCACTGTCCTCCCGTGTCCGGCGGCTCCCTCTGGCACCCTGTCTGGTCTCTACCTCCCCTCGTTCTCTACAAACTTGGTGAGTGGTGCTGACCTACAGGATGCGGGAGTCCACCAGTTCACCCCTGCTCGTCAGCGGGTGACGCACTGCACAGAGGCTAGCACAGGTCGACACCTGGCTACGTTTACCCGTCAGCCAGGGTCGAGCCTGTACACACTGACCACTGCGTCTCCTCCAGTTCCTGAGTCTGGTAGGGTCCCTGCGTCTGGTCAGGTGATTGCTGCAGTGTCCAGGTCTGGTCCTGAGTCTGCCCCCTGTTCGTGTCGTCTCCTGTCTCACGAGACTCTCCTCTGGCACCACCGCCTTGGTCACCCCTTTCTGCTTTGGCTCAGAGGCATGGCCTCCCGTCTTCTTGTGTCTGGTCTCCCCCGGTCCCTCCCTCCCCTTCCTCAGGGCCCTAGCCCTTCCTGTGTCCCCTGTGTCGAGGGGCGCCAGCGTGCTGCCCCTCACTCCTCCCAGTTTCCTCCGACAGAGGCCCCATTGCAGACGCTTCATATGGACGTGTGGGGCCCAGCCCGCGTCAGTGGACAGGGTCACGAGCGCTACTTCCTCCTTGTTGTTGACGACTACTCGCGTTACACCACAGTCTTCCCCTTGCGCAGCAAGGGTGATGTCACTGAGGTGCTGATCGACTGGATCCGCACAGCTCGTCTCCAGCTCAGGCAGAGCTTTGGCTTGGACTTTCCTTTTCTGCGTCTGCACTCGGACAGAGGCGGAGAGTTCTCCTCTGGCCTTCTCCGAGCCTACTGTCGTGCGCGAGGCATCCGTCAGTACTTCACGCTTCCAGACTCACCGCAGCAAAATGGGATTTCAGAGCGCCGCATTGGCATGGTCATGGACGTCGCTCGTACGTCTATGATGCATGCGGCTGCCCCCCATTTTCTGTGGCCGTTTGCGGTGAGGTACGCGGCGCACCAGATCAACCTTCACCCCAGGGTCTCCAGGCCGGAGACCTCCCCAGCCCTGCTGTGGACGGGGAAGGTTGTCGATGCGTCGGCGTTCCGGGTCTGGGGATCTCGGGCGTTTGTCCGCGACTTGTGTGCGGACAAACTGTCCCCTCGCGCTGCTCCTTGCGTCGTCCTGGGGTTCCCCCCCGACACACCTGGGTGGCAGTTTTACCACCCCACCTCTCGCCGTGTTCTGTCCTCCCAGGACGTCACGTTCGACGAGTCTGTCCCCTACAACCGCCTCTTCCCCTACCGCACTCCGTCCCTCCCCCCGCCCCCGCTCTTCCTGGTACCAGGTCCCCAGCCGGTAGACCCCCTTCCCCCTCAGGGTCCTACCCCTTCAGGTGTGTCCCAGGTAGACGCGGTCGAGCCTGTCGAGGTCACTGGTGACTCTGGTGCTGCTGGGGGTGCTGAGCCTAGGGGTGCTGCGACGGGGGGTGCTGAGCCTGGGGGTGCTACGCCTGGGGGTGCTGAGCCCGGGGGTACTGAGCCTGGGGGTGCTGAGCCTGGGGGTGCTGAGACTGGAGGTGCTGAGACTGGAGGTTCTCCGGGTGCTTCATCTCGCCGGGAGCCACTCTCCCCACAGGAGCTGCGTGAGTGGTTCGCCCGGCGCTGGAGCCGTGCTGCTGGTGCTGGAGGTTTGTCGGCTACTGAGGGTGCTGCTGTCGCGGGTCCCGGAGGTGCTCGTCCTGGGAGTACTGGAGCTACTGGGCCTGCACGTTCGACTGGAGCTTGTGCTGCTGAGGGTGTTGGCGCTGAGACTACCGCTGGCGGTCCTGCTGGGGGTGCTCCTGCTGCTGCTGGAGGTTGTGGAGCTGCTGGAGGTACTGCTGGAGCGAGTACTCCTACTGGGGGTCCTGGCGCTATCCCTGCTGTTTCTGGCGTCGCCACGCGGCCTCGACCGTACTTCGTTCCACTCCTGCAGCAGGTTCTTGGTCTTCCCCCTTCTACTAGTTCTCCTCCTCCTACTTTAGAGGGTCCCCAGCCTGTCCAGTCACAGTCACAGCTAAAGCCTGCCTCCCCTTTGCTTCCTCCTTCTCCCTACGCTGGTCCTACTGGAGGTCTTACTGAGCGTCGTGCGCCTGCGTCTCGTCCTGCGTCGCCTGTTCGTGCTGCGCGCGCTAGTGGTCGCAGTTCGCGTCAGCGTCCTCCTCCTGTCCCTGGCACGCACCGGATGTCTCTGCGTCCGTCTACTGCTCCTCTGCGTGCCCCTTTGCCTTCTCCTCCTGAGTCCTCTCTTCCTGCTCTTGCCGACCCGGAGTCGGACTCTCTTCGTGCTGCCAGTCCTAGTGTCACGCGTCTTCTTGCTACTGTCGTCATTGACCCTTCTTTCGAGTCTACTGCTGCGTCTGCACTTGTCACTGAGCTCGTCGACTTTGCTGCTCGCTGTCGTCTAGACTACGCTGCTAGTCTTGTCGCTGAGTCTGAGTCTGTCTGTCCTCCGTCCGTCGGGGGTGAGTGTGCCCTTGGCACGGACGTCCTTGAGGAGAGGCAGGAGGAGTTCCAGTGTCTGGCCACTGCTTCACCTCACCTCGTGTCCGTACTGCTTACCCCTGAGGGAGACCCGGATGCACTTGACATCCCGACTCTGCGCTCTTACGCGGAGGCGATAGAGGGTCCCTACTCCTCTCAGTGGCAGGCAGCTATGGATGCAGAGATGGCTTCCTGGAAGTCCACAGGCACCTACGTTGACGCTGTCCCCCCTCCTGGGGCGAACATCGTCAGTGGCATGTGGATCTTCAGGGTGAAGCGGCCGCCGGGTTCTCCGCCTGTCTTCAAGGCGCGTTACGTGGCTCGTGGCTTCAGTCAGCGGCAGGGAGTTGACTACTTTCAGACCTTCTCCCCTACCCCGAAGATGACCACTCTTCGGGTACTCCTGCACGTTGCTGCTCACCGTGACTACGAGCTGCACTCTCTCGACTTCAGCACTGCTTTCTTGCAGGGTAGCCTGCACGAGGAGATCTGGCTGCGCCGCCCACCTGGCTTCACTGGGTCTTTCTCTCCTGGTCTCCTCTAGTCCTGTACGTAGACAACAAGGCCATGCTGGCCTTGTGTCGAGAGCAGCGACTGGAGCACAAGACAAAGCACATTGCTCTCCGCTACTTTCTTGCTCGTGAGCTACAGCAGCGTGGACAGTTGCGGCTTGCGTACGTGGCCTCTGAGGCCAACACTGCTGATGTCTTCACCAAGGCACTTGCGCCTTGTGATCATCAGGGCTTCTGCACTCAGCTGGGTCTTGTGCCCGTCTTACCTCACTTGCTCACTTCTTGACCTTGCTTGTACTGTCACATATATATACTCCTGCTCTTGCTTGCTTAGCTTCTTATTTATATATATGTAATCTTGCATGTGAACTGGCCTTTTGGCCTTTGAACTTGTGCTCGGAATGTGTGGTGACTTTGTGATCCACCCTGAGCTTTGCTTTGCTTTGCTTGACTGGTCTTGTGTCCCTTTGTTCTCCCCCACTTTGCCTATGGGGGTGTGTCAGAATGTATAGCTTATGCTTTTGTGTAGGCTATAGTGGGGTATCCCATGGGGGGTACAACCCAATTAGGGTTTCATATTTGTACTCACTTCATTCATACTTCATCCATTCTCGTTCTCATTCTCACAGTGCGGGCATCTGCGAGGAAGTTACAGCAGAAGGGGAAGAAGCAGCAAGCCAGATGGCATGTAATGACAACTCAGGAGCAGCGGCTTCTAAGGCGTATTCGGGTAGTGGAGGGTAAGAGCTGGCGGTGGTCGAACAGCTTTGCAGCAATTTGGGGCAAGCCACACAGGCCTCGGATCCACGTGTAAGGACCGAACTCTTTAGAGGCAGGTCTCCTGCTTCTCACGCACAGTTACGACTGTTAATGTGTTGTACACTTCTGTTCTGGTGTATAGCCCATAAAGGCAAAAAAAAGAAAGAAAAAAAAAAAAAAAAAAAAACTCTTAGAGAGAGTCATACTCCTCCTTCACACTCTACTTCCACTTTTCAGCATCGGGTCCGCTCAATGCCTCAGCTAGGGTCTTGGGCTCAGGGACGGATGCCCAGTATGCTATCTCATCCTCATCACACTGCTCAGCCACACTCCCAGCTTGTACCACCTTTGGCTTGCCAAAGCTAGGATATGTCAGCCGATTAGGAGGGCGCACATCCCTCCTAGGACGGTCAGCCAGACATGGGACACCTTGTAGAGCACCTTGTTGCTGCTACGGCTGCTGCTGCTGTTGCTGCTCCTCCACCTCAGGTTCTCCCCCATCCTTAGTCACTCCAGAGATCTCATTCTCAAAGACAGAAACCTCCACTTGTCTCGAAGGCCGCTGTACCTCATCGGCTCCGACAATCAGTGGTGTCGTAGGAAGCTTCTGCTGCTGCTGCTTCCACTCCTTGTAGTACAAGGACTCGAGGAACTTCACATCCCTCGACACACTCAGTTGCTGGCTGGTCAAGTCCCATAGCAGCCAGCCCTTGTGGTCCTTCGCAAGCCCTAAGTGCACACCCCATCTCCCAGAAGCTTCCAGCTTTCCCCTCTTCTCCTTCGGCACATGAAACACCACCATACAGCCGTAGGCTCTCAGCATGTTGACTGCTGGTGCACTCCCATACCACTTGGTGTAGGGGACCCACTGCATGTCCCCCACAGTCGCCAGCACCCTGTTCTTCACAAGGGCGACCTGCCGCAGCAGTC